GGAGTTACACTTAAAAAATGTACTTGTTCCGACTTGCATACAAATTCAACTTAAGTAGAAACCTAAAGTCCCTAACCTGTATGTAACCCGGGGACTGCCTGTATATAACAACACAACTTTTTAGGCATGAAGATGGTAACTACATTATATGCAAAATCGCTGAACATTCACTCTCAGGCAGATGGCACAAGAACTGAAATCAATCCTTTACATGTTATGCCATTTTCAAGCACTAGAGAGAGCTAGAGATCAGTGAAAAGAAAAAGCCTTCATGCGGCATCCTTGGCTGCCATCTGAATTGTTCTTCCAATATAAGGTGCTGCCATACTCTGCAATATCACAGCCCCCAACTGCCTCTTTTTTTTGGTACAAGCACTGGGGTCATTGGTATCAATTCCCACCAGGACACTGTAGTTTGCATGGTCTCCCTGGGCTTGCATGGGTTTCCTCCAGTTCCCCCCCTTTCCACCCCCACTCTTGCTGGTAGGTTAATTAGCACCTGTCTAAATTAGCACTGGTATGTATTAGTTTTCAGAGGGGAAAAGAACCGTCCCGTCGGGGGGATGATTACTTAGTACTCTCTGGAGTGAAGGTGGGTGCTTGGGGGGTTCCTCACCGGGGAGGGGAACTTCTCAGCATTAATGCCTCCTGATGGGGACGGGTGCTGCTCTGGTCTGGCCGGAGGGTTCGGGGAACGAAGAGGCCCGTGGTGCTGTGCCCCCTTGGGGAGGGGGCGTCCCAGGGGTGCCGGAAAATCACTTGGGTGTGGGACCCCACTGTGATTCACCTGCACTAGGTCACAGCACCTAAAGCATTTTCTGCACCATGCCTCTTGGGCAGACCTTCTGGCTAACCCGGGACAATTTTTATACTTTGGCTGTATGCTCTGCCAGTTTTGTGCACTGGCACTTATTTATTTAAGCACTATTTTATGCACGACTGCAGGTTTTTGATTCCACAGAGTGACGGAGGGTGCGGGACGGGTACCTTTGGGGCCCATCCTGATGTTAGCGGGAGGTTCTGTGGCCTTCACTGGCTTATCTGCCTTTCCCCACCTGGGGAGTCTCTCTTTGGGGGAGCTCCTTATCTAGTACTTGAGGGTCGGACCCTGAGGATCGGGGTCTGCCGGCCTTCGGATAGGTGGACCAGGGGTTCAGGAATATCGAGGCCCTTCCTCTTCGGGGAAGGACCACAGCACCCTCTTGCACTTTTTTTTGTGTGTTGTGATTTCACGATTCACATTTTTTGTTCACAGGGGAAGTCGTATTTGATGCATGCACCGCGGACTTAAAAAAAAAAAATGTGTATGTATACATGTCAACATGAGACCATAGGATGTAAGCTCCCCGAGGGCATGGACTGATGATGAATGTACAGCATGTAAAATCCCTGAGTAAATTGCCGGCACTTTAGAAATACTAATTATTATTATTATAATCATCATTATACAGGATTTATAGAGCGCCAACAGTGTGTGCAGCGATTTACAATATAAGGAAGACATTACAGTTACAATACAAGATGGTAAGGAGGACCCTGCCCCTGAGGGCTTATAATCTATAAGGGAGGGACAAGTGATACAAGAGGTGGTAGCTGTGTGGAGAAGAATTGTTTGAGAAAGTGATAGTAATGATGATGATAATAATACACATGTACCAATATATGTACTATTTATTTTTCCACTAGTGTGTGTGTGTGTGTGTGTGTGTGTATGTATATATATATATATATCCTGACTTTACATGCAGTTTAATTTTTGGACAGGCAGTATTCCTTCCCAGGACAGCGGTGTGAAAGGTTTGCCTCCATTCTCAGGCAATAGATAGACGAGTTTTGGGAAGATTTGATTAACACATTTTGATATTGCAGGGATATGCAATGCAAAACATAACATTGCAGAATTCTAGGTATAAAAGCAATCACTGACAACAGATAAAAAGAGAAGAAAAAAAAACCTGTCAAAATGATTTTCCAAATTGCCAGAAGATCATTCTCTGCAGCAACTGTCAAATTTTATCCGCACAAATTCAGTTCTAAAAGAGATCTGCTGCTGCAAAGCGCAAGCAACCAGAAAGAATAACCGACTAACCTAAAACTGTGACTCCTAAAAGGAAAATATGCTCCTCTTTGATCATTTGCCATCATTTCAATAAAGAATGTTCTTTCTGGAATCTAAGGCTGCAACAACTAATCGATTATAATCTACAGCCACAGTGAGGGTGCGCTTCAGAGTGCAATACAGAGACCACGGTTTTCACACACAGCGCAATGGTCTTTAGCTGAAGCCCCGTGACAGGTATGAGAGTTTCTGCTGGGGCAGCTTTGACCCAAAAATCACCATTTAGACAAATTAGTTTTGAGACAGCCTGAATTTTTTTTTAAACTGCAATTGTGCTTAAACATCAGAGACTGAAAAAAATCTGGAGACTGTTAGGAGATTGTCAGGACACGAGTATTATTCTCACAAGGATGTACACGAATGGCAATTATAAGCCAACAAACTCTTAAATAAGCAATTGTTGAACAACTTTGCCATGCTCATATACAAGTCTATGGATGAGAAGAGAGAAGATCAATGCTAATAGTTTCTGCTATATGAATAAATTATGGAATTGTGCCAACATAGGTGACTACATCGTAGAATTGCACTACTAAGGACCACATGTGCAGCAGCTTACATTATATGAACAAAGACATTAAGCTCACATATTTAATTTGCATGACCCCAAAAAAATCACCCATATATAATATTAGCCTTGCTGTAGTCACCGGGAAAAGAAAGTTATCCTTAAACTTACTGAGGATCCACTAGAGGGCGCAAGCTTCCTGAACAATTATACTTTGTCACAAGAAATCTACAAATAACTTAGGATGGGCGATACAGAAGTGGTTTGGTTGAAACATCAAAGCTTGGCCTGTCACAGCCATGCCAAACATGGAGAGAACCCCTTACTAACAGCCTGGAAAAAAAAATAGTATAGACCTTATGGTTGAGAAAATTTTGCCCGTCCCTTATCCTAAACAAAATGAATAATCTAACACTAATATCATTTACCCCTTTCCGCTGGCCCTTCAAAGATTCTTCATCCTGAAGACATTTCATGATTTTCCCGATCATGGGATCACTCTGATTCGCTGTCACAAGGATCACATGATTGAAGAGCCTATCCTACCAACTCTTTATCATGACTCTGTGACCGGGAGCTGTCGGTGACTGTGTGGTGACAGTGCTGGGGGTGCGCTATCGAGTGCTCTCCCAGAAAACAACAGTGATACATACAGTCATGGCCAAAAATATTGGCACCCCTGCATATCTGTCAGATATATTGCACCACTTTGCACAGAAAATTGTTGCAATTACAAATGTTTGGCATTCTCATGTTTATTTCTTTTGTTTGTATTGGTATGACACAAAAAAAGTTGAGAAAAAAAAAAGGCAAACCTGGTACATTCCACGCAAAACTCAAAAAATGGACTGGACAAAATTATTGGCACAAATTATTGAAATTTGTAGCACAGCTCTTATTATCTGACAGAAATGCAGGGGTGCCAATATTTTTGGCCATGACTGTATATGTGGTATCAGTAAATAAGGCCCACCTCTGTGCTGCTAAATATATGCATGTGGCCGGCGAGAAGGGGTTAAAGTGTATGTCCAGATTTAATTTAGATAGTTTACAGTGGGAAATTATTAGAACCTCTCTTGGATTTTTACTTCTATCTGGGGCTCTGGTAAATATGTCTTCTCATTTTCTGTTCCAGAGATGACTTCACTAGATAGGAAGTGAGGGAAAATCAGCAAGGACACAGGAAGTGATAAAAAGCTGACCAGGAGTTTACATTTTCTATTTGTCCTTGTTGGAGATTTACACTCACTTCCTCTCTTGTAAAAAAGTTTTGAAGGGACGTACACATTTCAACCAAAGAAGGTGCTAAACAAGAGTTCTTAGAATCCAAAATGGTATTTTGATTCCACAAACGACAATAGGAAGAAGCACACGGAAGCTTGTGTTGCCCCAGGCAGCATCTTTTTTGCCCTTTCCGGCCAGAGCGTCTCAGGTTGCGAAGAGCCGGGCAGGGAGACGTGTAAGGGTCATACACATCTCCCCTCCCAATTCTCAGCAACCTGAGATGCTCTGGTCGGCAGGTTGCCAGGAGCTGAGTCGGATGCCCTGGCAGAGGTCCAGCCCAGCACCTGGCAGGCAGGATGCCGGCCAGTGATGGGCAACGTAACACCAGGACATCAGCTACAGCACCATTCACATGCACCATCAGCACCCCATCAATACCCTCCCCGGAACGTCATCCCCACCACCACCCCCCTTCTTCCTGCTTCAGGTGGAAATGATGCTAGGTACACCCCTGGTTGAAATGCATATGTAGTTCTCAAGTCAAGCATCCTCTGTCTTTTGAGTGGGGCCCCTGTTCTGTGGTCAGCTGTCGAACAAAAGCCATTTGTCTTTATAAGGACTTCTGCATTGTATATCAGGGATCTGTATCAAGTGCCTCATATTCAGCTTGCCTTAGGATATACACACTTTAAAGCAGACATTGCACTCCAAGTAAAGTGCCACCTTCCCTTGCCTAAATATTGCATTAAACATTAAAAAATAAAAACCTGTAGATAACATTCTGATCTATTCCCCAGCTATCGCAGTGCAGGGGGTAAAGTCACCATCCTCTTCAATGATATACCGGGAAATGCAGAGTACACCAATAAAAAAACAGAAAAGATGCTATAGTACAGTACAGAGTTGTCTTTTTGTTAGATTTGGGCTACTCTACATTCCCCAGATCTCACAGGAAGAATGATCACATCACTCTCACCTAGTTGCCATGGGTGGAAGCTGGGTGAACCATAAGTATATTATCTAACTATTGAAGTTTAATGCTGTATTTTAGCAAGGGCGCGGAGTCCACATTAAATAAGTGGACCTTGTTATTTAGGTAAAAGTTCCTATTTAAATGCAAAAATTGAAACGTTTTGTGCCTATTCCTACCTCTGACAATTAACTGACTTTGGTGCTCCACAGCTGCAGCATCGTTCCGAGCGATGCAGGTATAATTTCCATTGTGCATTAGAGACAGATTGGAGATCCGCAGAGAGCTGGTGAAATCAATGTTGTCGATGGTCACCCCGAGATTGGCCGGAATTGGCCTTCCGTCCTTCTGCCAGGTGATGGTAATGGGAAGGTCTCCAGAGACCACAACACATGGGATGAACACTCTCTGTCCAATAGAAAATCTTTGGGACTCGAATGGCTGAATGAATGGCGGTACTGCAAAACAGAAAGAGATTACGTCAACAGAACCATCCCAAAATAACATTTCACAATTATTTCTAGCTGGGTCCAAATGATGCTTAGCACATGCAAGGTCAGCAGTACCATGGCTTCCAGCCACAACAGGACTAATGGGCAGATGTCTCTTCCAGGCTCACAGACAGCAATAAATCGCTACTTGAGAAGACTTCTTCTTTAAAAGAGGTACAAGTATACATTTGGCAATTATAGACCCTTATATTAATATAAGGCTATATAAGGGTCTTATAGATAGATCTTTTTGGCACTGTAATCGGGGCATAGGCAGTTTTCGGTCCAGGAGCTTTTAATGACAATCTTGGCCTCGGAAGGTGAGGGGGATTCAACTTACAACAAAAGAGAAAGTGAATACTAGTGTATGGTGAATAACAAAGAGGTCTATTTATAGACAGTTTGCAGAACCCTTCACCCTGCAAATCTCTGTGAATGTTCGTTCTGTGCAAAAATAAACACACTCAGTACTTCAGGTCAAATGTAATATTCGAAAAATACCATTTTATGGCCACTAGATGGAACTGGAGAACTACTTTTTTTCCTATCCTCTTCAGCTCCACCTAGTGGCAATAATGTGGCACTGTTCAAATCTTACATTCAAACTGAAAAGAAAATATACTAAGAACCTTAGCTTTTGCCTTCATTTGCACAGAACAAATGTTCACAGAGATTCACAGACGAATGGCTGTGTGAAATGATATACGTACTAGCTGCACACCTTGCAGCTCTCTGACCGTAAGTAACAGATCTGGTGCCCGAAGTGTATGTAGATATAGGTCACCAGCATTCAATTAGTTAAAGAGAAAATAGTAGTTGCTTTAATGGAGAATACAGTCTGTAAGTTAGAATGCCAAAGTTTAGGGACCGTGCAAGGTCCCTTCATGAGGGTGACACAATGATGCAGGAAGAGGAGTTCTGTTCTACCAGGAAGTTCTGGAACTTTGCTCATTGGACAAGTTCCCATTAAGATGAATGACACAAAGCATCCTGTGCTTTGTGTTTCAGAACAGTCCAGCCTTGCAGCATGCTGGGATAGACCATTTCAGAGACAGTGACCAGTGATGCCACGTATGGCTTTCCTGCTATGGCTGCCTGAATCTGCACAACTGATTATCACCCTTTTAAAAATAGATAGCAGTACATTAAGCAGAGGTCCCTGAAGAAATAGGTTTATGATTGCATCTTTCAGAGCAAATCTTTTAATTAGGCATCTGTAATCAGCTTCTGCTCTGACCGGGAGTAATTGCGTGCAAAATATTACAAAAATTAAAGTATTTCTTATCACCAATGTTCAGCACTGGCTTTCTAAAACAGAAGGTATTTACATATCCTCAATTCTATCACAGACTTAAAAAATAAGAAAATGAATCCTCATGCAAAAACAAAACCTGGCAAATCAGTTATTTATGCCCTAGTGGCCCTAGTATGCCATAGCTCAGATACAGGCCCAGTTATTTATGCCCTAGTGGCCCTAGTATGCCATAGCTCAGATACAGGACCCACAGAGGCACTTTTTACAGGTGTTCATACAGTTGTCTCAGGCATCTTTGTTGTGAGTGCAAGGGATAGAAAATATGACTTCTGTGGAGAACTGTTTTTGTGGGAGCAAACAAGAGGGTCAAAGGAACCAAACCCCACCACTAGAACATTGTAAAATATTGTTCCATCTTTTTAGATCTTGTGGCCTTAGTATGGTGCCCTGTGGACAAAGACAATAGAAAACTAGCAAAATATATAAATTACATCTAAAGCCAAAATATTTGGATCTAGACAAAAAAAAACTTTTTTTTTTTTTTTTAATTGTCTGTGTCCCATTGTGAAGATTTGGGAGACTCCAAGGTTTGAAAAGCACCAAAGTTCGGAATGCAAATGGTGAAGCTTCTGATTAGAAGGGATTCATTGGGGTGGTCTTGTATTTTATTCCCATGTTTGCACTCAGCAGTGCTGATTGTGAAATGATATAGACCAGGGGTAGGAAATTTAGGCCGTCCAGCTGTGGTGTAGCTAGAAGCCACATGCAGCATTGAAAGATTCTAACAGCTAGAGGCATGACACACAGAGGCAGATGCATGATTGGATTTGTAGTTTCACCACAGCTGAAGGGCCTGAGTTTGCCCACCCCTCATATAGACTATACATGACACCTAAAGACGAGTATTCTTTATTCTCTTTTACTCTTCATAACTAGCGTATGGTGAAAGCTATAGGCTTATTAAAATGAAAAAGCTACCTTTCACTGTAACGTAGACGCTCTGGCTTGTGGACAACTGTGGTTGGACAAGGACATTACATGTATACTCCCCTTCATCCACATCCTTCTGTACGTCGGTTAGCTTTAGCGTTCCGTTGTTCTCAAATGCCACTTGTCGGTGGTTGAACGGGATGAGGTTGGAATTCTTATACCACTTTATGGAGTAATATGGATAGCCAATCACACGACAGTGGATGTATGTGTCCCGCCCTGCTATTGCTGTAATATTTTTCATTGGTCGAATGCTTGCTGGACCTGGAAGAACACAAGAAAGCACTATATGATTCTAGAAAGCAGGAATGAATACCTAATGGAGAGGTGGATGATATGGGTGAGGCATGTAAACATTTGTGTTACTAAAAGTGTATCAAAACTGGCTGGTGGCCTTAAAAAGAAATGGCTTAAAATGGAACTGTAAAGCTACCTTTAAAAAACAAAAACACAATCTCTAAGAAGATTATAACATTTGCCACCATTCCCTGATAACTTCCAGGTACAAATCGGACCTCACCTCTGCTAAATAAATGACCCTAATTAAACCTAGGATTTCCTGACCACTGTGAAACACAAACTACTAAGATAACTCTGGACATGCAGAGTGAAAACACAAACATTAACCTTTACAAGATATAAAAAATATTTTGCTATTTTGTAGAATATAAAACAAATCAAAACAGTAAAAAGTGCTACAAAAAAGATCAAGGTCCATCAAATCCATGGATCCTGTTGATCCAAAAAAGGAAAACCAAAACTCCATAACTATGGGAATGTATGGTATTGTCAGAATTCATTCTACTAAACTATGTCTTTATTTTGGCGACTCTCGCTTTTTGCCACAGCTGCAAGGAACATGTTTAACCCCTCCCCCCCAAAAAAACTTTTTATGAGTTAATGAGATAAAATTAAGTGTTTGCAATGGAAGAACCCCATAAGGGATTCAGTACCCTTTACATGACATTATGATGTATGTATGTGTAATACAGTTTTTGAATATTTTTTTTTTTTTTAAGAGCTCATTTGACAAGCACCTCTTACGTTTATTCGAGCCTGGTACAGGACGACTCCCGCGGAATTATTGGCAGTGCAGCGGTAGACTCCCCCGTCCCGCACCTGGGTGTTGGTGATGTTTAGATAACTGACAACATTGCCGTCAGAGGTGATGAGCTGGCTGATGCGATGGTTGCCATTCTTGATGATGGGCTCGTCGTCCAGGGTCCAGGTGATGGTGGGTAGAGGCGTGCCTTTCACGTTACACATGAGGGAGACAGGCTCGCCAGGGCTCACCACCTTCTCGCTGAACGCAGAGTTAATTTTTGGTGTTCCATCTAAGAAGGACAAGAAAGCGTACATTTCAAGCACTGGAGAGTATTGCATAATCACTTGTTAAGAGGAGAATACATATCTGACTAGGCAAACACAGAAATGTAAACCTTCTAGAAAATACATGCATAACAATCTTTGCAAAACATACAAATGTATACATAACATATGATAAAACAAGACAAAAAAAATAATGCTTCATAATAATAAAGTAGATCAAAACCCAAAATTAATGGCTTTTCAATTTCTAAAACCGAATATATAACAAACAATTATCATGTTTTTGTTTTTTTTAGTTTTGTTTTATACCATTTTATCCTTTGTTGCATCTCATGGTTGCTAACCTTTGCGGGCCTTTTTGACCACCACTTCCTGTCTACATGCACTTTCTTCATGTCATTGCTCAGCATGGTGGGCTTCCTGATGGTTCATTTAGGGCTTCCTGAGAAGTTCTAAATGGAATGTTTCCATTTAGGACTTTTTTTTCATAGAAAACAAGAGAAAGTAAGCAAGTCTTTCTTATTTGCCCAGTCAATGTCTTTGGGGAGCTTCTTTGTGACCTGCCCCACGGATGTAAGCTCCATGTCATACTTGTGATGCATTCACAAGCCACCAGATCACTTTACTACGGCAGAGAAATACTTACTTGCTATTACAATGTCCCATTCTTGCTGACCGGATGAGCGAGAGATTGCTACGTGGCTGGCAAGTGACATTTGGTCAGCAAAGGGGTTGCACCTCGCTCATTTGGCCAGAGAAGAATTGACACATCAGAAGCAGTTGAGTATTTTCTCTGCACATGGCATGGGCCTTTATCGCCAGCCATGGAAGAATTACAATTACATGGGTCTTTCTCCTGGTAGAGATGGTTACTTGAAGGGAAGGAAGAACAAAAACTCTTAGTGCTAGAAGCGTACACATTCCATCCAATGGAAAGCATGCAGATATTTCACATACGCAGCACTAAGGGAACATGGGTCCATCTTTTATCAAGATTGTGAATGCCGCTAAACGGCACTCTTCCAGGGTCGCTGTCAGGTCATGTTGACATTTACATGGTAGAAAATACGCATTTGTAGAACTTGACCGAAGCTCGACCTTCGTTCGAGTGCACTTACCAGGCTTGTAAAACAAAAAGCTACACAGGTTGTCCTTGGTGCTTGGACAATTAGCATTAAAGCCCTTTCTTTATTTATTAATGGATTTTCATAATATGCAAAGCTTAAGGGGCATTCCAGGTTAGGCAATACAAAAGTACCAGAACTCCTATACTGTAGCATAAAACCAAGCTGCAGTGACAAAGGAGGTTCTTAAGGCTGCCACTTTTTTTCAGGAAAAATACCAACCTTATGACCGTGCTGCCACCTGAACAGGAGATGAGGGAATGTCTTCCAATGGGGACAAATATTTGTACAAGATGGCAATTCTCCTCATGTTGTAGACATTTCCTTTCACTTCCTGTTACATCTCTAGGACAGGATGTGATTGGAAAACATCTGCAAAGGGGCAAAGACAGTAACCTTTCCCCACTCTACACAACAAAACAAAAATTTGGTCTAAATATTGACTTAAATTACACATAAATGCGCCATTCTTTTTGTTATCCACAGCCTTAAGGTGGCCTGCTCCTATCTGTTAATAGTGTTCCAAAGCTATAAAAGTTACTTAATGGTCCCCAGTATATCTGTTGTACCAGTTTCCAGCCTACCACGGAACAACTTCAGTCAGCCACTGCCAATTAGAGACTCCGAGCACCCTGTGCAGCCCGTAGCTTGCTTGATGCATCTAAACCACCCTCCTTATGAGTCTGTGGGAGCCTGACTATAGTTCATGGACCAAATTAATGATCATAAGTTTGATCCAAAATTGTCTAATGTATTACTAACTGCTACCAAGCTGCAGATATGGTACAACTATGCAATGAGACAAACCCAATTAGGGCCATGTTCCTTAGCAACAATTAAAAATTAATAATTCAGTTTTGTGCTCATCGGGTCAGCGCTATAAAATCAACCCATGGAAAGGGCACTGAAATATAAACCTGGCCTTACATGTAGAAACTACCTGTCCTCCCCCCCCGTATTTGCCTCTCCGTTGTTACTATAAGGGGCATTTTGCGTTGGCGGTTATTTGTTTCCTCTGTCAGGGCCTGAGCATGTCACAAATGATTCCTGCTGACAGCCTGTGATAACCCACACACACTTTCCTCACATCATTACAGATGATCAATATGCTCTTCAGGATTGCAGAGCGGCAGGAGACTGTTGCCAGGGCAACACGGCCTAGTCAGGTAAACTCCTCTGTCTGTAGAAACAGCCCATGCTGGGAATGGCGGCCGACTCTAATTAGTAGGTGGCCTTTTTATTCATTGCTTCCTCTCCTTTGTCAATGGGACTTAAAATGACCTCACAATAGGTTTTTCTTTTCTCTGGTAAAAAAAAAATGTAGAAGATTTTTCCACTGGGCATTGGCAAAACGTATGACAAATATGATAATTACTCACAGAATAGTGTGTATGTGTGTATGTGTATATATATATATATATAAAAAATATATCAGCTGTCACAAACGGAGCTGTACAGAAGATCCAGCACAATGCTGTGCCGTATCCGTATCTTCTGTATTGGAGGGCAGGCTCTTAAAGAGCGCCTGTCACCTCCGAATGATATCACATAGGGGCTTGTTATCCAAGTTAGGCAAGTACACAGTGCTTATGGTAAAGAGAACCTAATATATTGAATAGTAAGAACAAAGGACAGGTTCACTTTGATTGGAGAAGGAAACCAGATTGTTACAAAGCTTAGATTTCCCCTCTAAGCTGCCTTGTGTCCTTTTCAGAAGCTGATGAAATCCTGAAGAGCACAGAGCTGAATTCTAATTGCAGGGTGAACAGCGGCATCAGCTGCTCTGTTATCTTGTAATTACTGTGTCCTCTGCAATGGGGAATTCCTGAATAAACACACGGTGCAGAGAGCATACAGCATGATAACAATTCCCTGAAATAAACAGCACTGATTATTTTTGTATGTCTTCTTAGCACAGATGATGCACCCATCACCTGTGCTACACCCAAGAGCAATTTGACCGACATTTTGAAAAAATTGTTCTTGGCGTAGGTGTTGCAGCGCTGGAAATGTTGGTATACACATTTTTTTTATTTTGTTGCATGTGTTACATTTGTGCTACACCTGAAAAAACTATTTATCACATCCAAAAAATAAGGGCCACCTACCCATCCTTAAAGAGACCCTGTCAGGTCTCGAAGCAAGTAAAACCGCCAGTTCCCTGCAATAGAAGAGGCATTATACTCACCTCCCCTGGGTTCCAGCACTACAGCCTCAGCCAGTCTCTTAAGCACTAAAAATGAATAATGTATTGATTGCAAAATATGAAAGAAATATTTTTAAACAACTCCAGGAAATGTAAAACCTAACCCTTGCAGTAAGGCTACCCTCACACTGCAAGGGTTAAGTGTTCATTATGGTCTACGGGCTAAAATATGGAAGGTATACTCACCTGATCCATGGTCACACTTGGTTGCTAGACCGGTCCCCACAGCCTCTTTTTCCCTGAGCTACTGCGAATCTAAGGACCTGTGAAGTCATTAACTCTAATGCAGCTGCAATAGGTGTGAGGATGCCTAGGGACATTTGACAACCGGAGCGGAAGGGAGAGAGGCGAGTGGTGACTGCCGCAGCGCTGAGGATCAGGCAAGTATATTTTCTTTATTTTAGCCCATAGACCAAAATGAGCAGTTCATTTTTACATTTTCTGGAGTTCAATAAAGAAATAGCGACATTTAGGGTACTGAATGCAGATCCAACACAGGTATCACAGTTAAAATCAGACTGATTTTATTACAAAGCATCTTTAGAGCTTTAATTTTGCTCTATTATTATTATTATGATTATATAGGGTTTATAGTCACAATATAAGGAAGACATTACAGTTACAACACAATTCAAGACAAGATGGTAAGGAGGGCCCTGCCCCTGAGGGTTACAGTTTAAAAGATTACATAATACTTGCTCTCACATTACATGATATCATACTATAGTTTGAAACCTTCTCAGCTAAACTTACCATCCTATCTTTACAGTATCATATTCACAGAGATCATAACGCAACATCAATTCATATTAGAGGATATTCAAGCTGTTTGATCAGAATATGTAATGGGAAGATGTAACAACTTTCTTAGGCCATTTGTTAGGCCAAAAGTTCTCTTCATCAGTAGAACACAGGAGGCAAATGATCTCAAATCATACTGGCTTCCAATAGCCCATAGGATAAAATTCAAAATATTAACAACGACTTACAAAGCCATCCACAACTCCGCCCCCGGCTATATCTCAAACCTTGTCTCAAAGTATCACCCTAACCGTCCCCTCCCCTCTTCAAAAGACCTCCTGCTTCCAGCTCCCTCGTCAACTCCTCTCATGCTCGCCTCCAGGACTTCACTAGAGTCTCTCCCATCCTATGGAACTCTTTACCCCAACCTGTCCGACAATCTCCCACTCTAAATGCCTTTAGGCGATCCCTTAAGACTCATCTCTTCAGGGAAGCCTATTCCACCTCAACCTAACCACTCAACCATCACGTTCTCAAACAATTCATCCCCGCACAGCAACTTCCTCATGTATAACTTCCCCTTCCCTTTTAGATTGTAAGCCCTCACAGGCCATCTTGTCTTGAATTGTATTCTGATTGTAATGCCTTCCTTATATTGTAAAGCGCTGAGCAAACTGTTGGCGCTATATAAATCCTGTATAATAATAATATAAAAATACATCTTGTTATTGGATATGTGCCAATGATATCATATACAAGACATGTTATTTGACGTAACTTACATGGATATATATATCCAATAAAATGATGCACTTATATGATGTTAGATCATTGACCACCTACTGTCGTCTGATTAATTAGAGCATTGATCTAAAGCTGGCAACAGATTCCTCCATCTACACTAAACTGTGTGGATGGAGGAATCTCCCACTGGGCCAAGCTTCCGTACCTTGCTATTCGGCCCCGCTGGCTGTCAAAATACCTGAACAATCTGATTGGATGCAGGCATTGTTTTTTGACAGCCAGCGGGGCCGACTAGCAAGATACTGAAGCTTGGCCCAGCGGGAGATTCCTCCATCCACACAGTTTAGCGTAGATGAAGGAATCTGTTGCACTTTTTTCATCTGACCATAGAAAATCTGAAGAAAATCTATAGGTGTATGGCCAGCTTAAGTGTTATTATCTTCCCATCACATATTCCGTAAGGATAGCATGGTGGGTTTAGGCAAGGGGGTTTCAAATTATATCATCTAATAATGAGCAAGCAAGTACTATGAAATCTCATGCTTTTCATGACTCTTTGTAATAAAATTGATCTGCTTTTAACTGTAAAATGTGCGTTGGATCTGCATTTAATACTTTAAAAGTCCTATTTACTTTACTATTCATCTACAATCTCTCAAGAATTTAAAACCTTTGGGAGTGACGGATGCCAATGTTACCTGCCTTGTGCCGTGGTTCAGTGTTTAATGCCAAAGAGACTGACAGAGGCTGCAGTGCAGGAATGGAAGGGAGGTAAGACACATGGACTACTGGAGAGGTGAGTAGAATACCTCTTCTGTTATTGAAAGGGCCTCTAGCATTAGCATATCCCCTACCCCTAAACCTCACTCTCACCCTAAGGGCTTTATTACATGGGCGTTGTTGTAAAATGCTGCTTTTTGCATTATATACAGCAAAATACAGCACTGCTCAAAGGCATGTGTTTGAACACGAAATGCAGCAAAAGGCTGCACTTGACCTTTTTTGACTGCAATGCAAAAGCATCTCTAAAGGACTTGCTACTTACAAAGAAACACCGATGTCCAATGTCAAACTTAGGAAAACTATGACAGTTGAGACAGTTGTCTCTGGAACAAGTGTCCCCCATTACATTAGTTTCCCTCAGCTTTTATCCTTATGGATTCCTTCTCACTTTCTCGGTGCAGTACAAATAGAGGGGTGACTCTCCCCAATATCCACTCTATCCAAGCCCAAAAAATAAGATTTTGCCCAGAGATACACTTTAAAGAAAATGATTGTCGATCACATATCTGCGTTTTCCCAGATGTTTCCGGCTGCTGTCGGGGAAGACCTGTTCTAATCACTACTGTTCATCCACCCCTCCTTCTTCATTGACAGAACTAACCTTAAGTCATGCTTGGTCAAAGGACTACCCTCTCAAGTCTACATGAAGGATTACCGTCACTGGGAATGTCAGAGCAGGTTATATGGAAGCTCTGACCTGTGCCGATGAGTCGGATGGCAGACAAACAGGCTGATATAAATAGTATTCATAATCGTGATTATAATGGCTCACCTTCGAGCACCACCAGAGCATAATCCTGGGCTGACATCCGATCTTTGCGCACAAAGCACTGGTAAGCTCCGCTGTCGCTTTTCGCCACGGCATCCATTATGAGGGTTTCATGACTAATACCAGTTATTCTAACATTGCTCCCAGCAATCACAATATCACCGTTCCTGTACCAGGTTATATCAGGGTCATCTGTACCGGTAGCGCTGCATGACAACGCCACCTGACTACCGACGCTGGTCTTCACCTTCCTCGGACTGATTGCCACCTTCAGGGGTTCTGGAAAACGGCAAAGAAAATAGAAAATGTTCATTGATGGGAACCTGTTTTGCTTTTGCTAATAAAAAGTAGCGTTTGCGAAAATCATACTGTTGTATTTTGTGACATTTTTTAAATTAATTAATTCATGCAGAGTTATAAAGTTACTTAAGAGGTCTCCTTTAAAGTGAGCATGTGTCCAGACTATGCACACTGGCCATGGCTCTGAAGAAACGGATGTTCCGGATACGCGCCAGCCTAAGCACACAGCGGCCGGTGCCGACAAGGATGGGACCGGTGGCTGTTTTTGAAAATCTGCCAGCGAGGAAAAGTTCCTACGAAAATGTGTGACGCTTTTACAGGCTATTGCTTATGCTATTTTTTTTAATTAAAGGGGCACTCTGTTTATATACTGAGTGGCCATATTATTATGACCACCTAACGTTTGTAGGCAAATTAGCTATAATTTTGAGCCGAAGTTGCTAGAGGGCCAGACCATTATAAATAGGGAAGCAGGTTGTTTACCACCACAGTAGAAGTGATTTCTGAAGATGAAGATTGAACGTGGGATGATTGTTGGCGCTCGGAGCCATGGAGCGAGTATCAGCAAAACAGCAGAATTCGTTAAATGTTCAAGAGCAGCTGTTGTTTATATATATATATATATATATATATATATATACACACAGATATACCATGACCTGGATGAATGAGAACCTTCACAGACATCTAAAATGCATGTCCTGCAACCTGCATTATTGTATGCATAATGGTGTGGATGAGCCCTAGGAGTTAATAAAGTGAGACATAGAAAGAAAAGAAAGTAAACAAGGTCTGTGGCCCTGGGACCTAATTGTATACGTATTAGTGCAGATCTATCTGGAGAATAATTACAGACCCAGACACATCTGTTCTTTCCACTCCCTAGAGAAAGGGCAGCCACCATAATGGCACAACGCCTCAGGTGCATTCGGGGAACCTATGGAAAACATACACACTGAAAAGGTTTACAGTCGCCAATATTAAGTATGTTCCCTGTATTTAAAGTGAACCTGCTATGAAAGAAATAAGTGCTATTGCTGCTTCTGAAGATGGGGTTTATCTGGCTGTTATGTTAACCTTCTAAGTACAATACTTCGTGAGCTGCATTCCGGTTAGGGTGGTCCAAATGGCTTACAGCAAATGACCTGTATCAGGGAGTTAGCCTACCCCTGACCTATAGCACCAAACAGAATTGGAAAAAGTGGGTGGGGCCAGAAGAACACAAGAAATAAAAAAATCAGGAAATCAGATTCGGAAAAGTTGCAAAAAAGTATTAGTAGAAAAGATCAACATGAGCTTTAAAGTCTATGTTGTAGCAAAAATGTTTTAAAAATGAGATACATGGGCATTCCCCCATATTTTATGTCTTTATATACCTGTTGATCTGCCAGTAAATCGAGTCTACTCCTAACATTCTGTTCTGGGCCAACAACTCTGCCTCTGCTGCACTTAAATCCTAAGCAGTGTTGTCAGCCCCGTGCTGGTCTACAGAACTCCTCCACCCAGTGACCTGGACACAGTGGCGAAACTATCGCCATAGCGACCCAGGTGGCCACTATGGGGCCCGGCCAGGACAAGGAACAAAGGGGTCCCCCTGATGCTGTGCGGGCCACCTGGGTCGCTATGGCATCACTGGCTGCAGGCTGTCACTGGCGGGTGGGTGTGAGGAGGAATCCACCACTGTCCAGATCACTGACAACCAGTCAGTGATCTGTGCAGTGGCGCATTCCACCTCACAGCCGTTGCTGAGTCAGTGACAGTCAGCACCTTGCAGTGGAGAAGGGTGGTGGCAGCGAAGGAGGAGGTGGGGCTCGGCGGCGGTGGAGGAGGAGGAAGAGGCCGGGCCCCGGCGGCCGTGGAGGAGGCGCGGCCCGGCTGTGGAGGAGGCTGACAGCGGATCGGGGCTGACAGGTAAGAGGTGTGCAGGGGTGTGACCAGCCCATCTGAGACCCTGCCGAGCCCTCCATAGAGAGTCTATAGTGGGCTCTGCAAGGTCACTCTCGGGACGGCTCTGCAAGGGGCGTAACCTAATTAATGCCCAATTCTCTTCCTCTGGAATACAGAACACTTCCCCTCTGAAAGTGTCCTGAATGTCCAGGCAGGGGAGTAACTAGAAATCACAGGGACCCATAGCAAAATTTTGCTATGGGTCCCTGTGATTTCTAGTTACTCCCCTGCCTGGACATTCAGGACACTTTCAGAGGGGAAGTGTTCTGTATTCCAGAGGAAGATAATTGGGCATTACTTAGGACTTCGGTGCAGCAGAGGCAGAGTTGCCGATCAGTACTGGATCAGTGACTTTTTTTCAAGCAAACGCGTTGAAAGATTTCTGTAACTCAATCATCAAGAGTACAATTGAACAAATGCAAAGGCCTGCTCTGCAGAAATTATGTAGTGGTACACACACAGAAAAATGAGGACATATAGGTACAAAATAATACAATGCTACTAAACAGAAGAAAAATAAGATATTAATAAGAAAAAGTGTAAACAAAATTGTATGTGTGCAGTCATTATTAATATATTCCTGGGCAATAAAACAATGGACTGGGTATCTCAGAATAATCTGGCTGTCTTTATAGCTAAAAGCCACAAAAGCATTTCTATCCCTGTATTGTGGAAGTCTTTGTGGATCCAGTTGGTTTTGTTGCCGCGGGTAATGTCATTCTATGGAGATAATTGAATGCACATCTGTATATGATTATCACTCCTCAGCAGATGGCACCACCCTGCTGCTCTCTTTGTTTTCCAGTTTAGTTCCACTTAGCATGTCAGTCACAGTGGCCACACACTTTAGTTCAGGCCTCATAACTAATAATTGAAATACAATACTTAAATGGGAACTTATCCTCCTTCTAATGTAACCACTTTGGCTCTAGTACCCGTATACTCCTTATGGCGCAGAGCAATTTTTACGTTTCCACTATGCGCCTCTTTATTCGGTGATAACTTTATTAAAAGATAACAAAATAACACATACATGCAAACATTATTTTATTCTCCAACCCAGTGGTAGGGAACTGTGGCACTTCAGCTGGGGTGAAACTACAAATCCCATGATGTCTCTGTCTCAGCAAGTCAAAGACTTGCAATGCCTTATGGAACTGGTAGTTCCACGAAAGCTGGAGTGCCAGCTGTGCCCCACCCCTGATCTAACCATTCATTGATTTTTTTAAAAAATTTGTTTTTTGGTAAATATAAAGTATACATTTACATTTATTCTTAAATTAAATTTGTTGTTTTTAACATGACACAAAATATTCTGGTACAAAACAGGACAGTTATTTTGTAAAGTTCTGCGCAAACTGTTGGCGCTATATAATAACTGTTGGCGCTGTATAATAATAATAATAATATTTAAAATGGAAAGAAATTTGTTTTTTTTTCAGCTTTGCCTATTATGCGGCATGGAAAAAGTTAACAAAACAAAGAAAATAAAAAAATATATATATTAATGGTACAAAAATATATATAAAAAAAAATCAGCAGAAAAATAATAGCTATGGGGAGGAAGACATTATTTAGTGCTGGTTAGGGTTAACTAAGGGTTAATAGAGGGTTCAATAGGAATACATTTTATGTAAAAACAAATGTAGCATGTAAAGTTACTTTAAGTGTTTAAAGGAGAACTATGAGGTGAGTGCTTTTCACTCACCTCATAGTTCTAGCCGACCTGTGACAATGAGACTGTCACAGGTCGGCTCAGTAGATCGGGAGGTGAGCGAACACATACCGGGTTGGCACACCTCTCGATCCTGTCACGGCTCTCTGCCGTGACAGGGGAGGGGCTGGATTACCCCCTCCCTTCTCCGTCAGCGCTGACTGGCGGAACGGACGGGGGAGGGGCGAGTACAGCTGTTGGGATCAGCTGTTGGGATCCGCTTCAGCTGCGACGTCTCAGTATACCGCGAGCAGCTGCTCGCGGTAAAATGCGGCGTCTCAGTATACCGCGAGCTACAGCTCGCTGTATACTGAGCCTACGGTTACGGGAGGACGCTAGTTTGTGTCCTCCCGTTACCCTAAAGAGAACTATGGGGAAAAGCCTTAACCCCATAGTTCTCCTTTAAGTGGTGTCACTGATGCAGATGAAGACACACATTTGATCTACATATGAATAAAGTAGTAAATACAATGAATGCAAGCATCATTTTAAACAGGAGCAGCTGCAATTGTGTTTTCCAATGCACAGCAGGAGTGTCTGTCAACATGTCAGGAATACTGGGGAGGGGTGGCAGGGGGAGAGCTGGATGTAAGAACTGCAACCTACAAACTTTGTTAAAGTTTTTTTTAGGACATATCCTCAAGTGGTTAAATGGTTAAAGGGCACCTTATCTTTCTTATTGAAAGCAAAAAACCTTGAGGCAGTCGCTGCAGGCGGCATATAATTTGGGGGGCAGCAAAAGGACGGCCGCTGCGTCCCAGACTGCTAAGAGCTCTTGGCAACCTGTGATGCTCTGTCCGGCATCCTGCCCAGTTCATTGACATCATTGGTGACCAGTGACATCTGTAAGCTCTGTAATCTGTAAGCGGGACCAGACAGAGAGCCTGACAGCACGGCTGTAACATAGCCACCGCATTAGCATGCAGCCCCTTCCCGGACGACCGCTATTAGCAAAGCCCCCCCAGAAGCACTATTAGCAACATTCCCCCCCCTCCCCCTGCTATATTGCTCTATGGCCTCAGGTGGCATATATGGATGGAGTCTGATCCATGTCAAATGTTTGTGCACTAAGCCATAAACTGCGCAAGCACCAGTATATAAGGACTGTCTCATCTCTGAGCCAGCATCTCATTCAAGAAATTAGATGCTGACCCTGAATGATGTCTGAACAAAGATGGCACCATCCTTCTGGAGAGAAAAGCAGATGAAGATATTGTCAGGGGGAATACTGGGATCTCTATGAGAGGTAAACAATATTGTAAGTGTTCTTAAGTGTTGCTAGACATGACAGAGAGACATGCCCGATGTGGACAAACTGATCAACGTCTGTTAAGGTTTTATAAACATTTTTTCTATATATAGGCACATTAACCCATTACATATGCAGCCTTCGCTTGCTCCCGGTTTTTCTTCATAAGATACAAGTTTTTTTCTTACTTACGTTTTACATAAAGAGATCCAATTACTTCTGCGTTGCCGTAGCTGTTCCACACTTCACAGATATACGTTCCAGAGTCTGACGGCCGGGTGTTTTCAATCAGCAAACCTACAACTGTGTTCCGGAACCTGCTGCCCATTTCAAGCTGGACGTTGTCCTTCAGCCATCGGGTGTGGGGTATCGGGTATCCAGAGGCTTTACATGGCAGCTCCACTCTCTGTCCTGCCATTACTGTCAGGTGCTCAAACTTATCAATAATCGTTGGAGCAGAGTTGACTGGATCTGGAAATGAAATGAACAGGTCCGAAATGTTACTATGACCATCTAGGTAACAGTACAGATGCCCTTTAAAGAAATGGCCACATGAGAAATGCATTAGGGCTTTGTGGGCCTGATACCAGCATGTACTATGGGGGCTTTTATACCAGGTTATCATTTCTACCAAGACTACATGCTGTGGCTTTTATATTACTGATTCCACCATGTTATCAGTTATACCAAAACCACATACAGTATAACCATTAGACCCAAAAGATTCAGACATGAGACTGCAAAAGAAGACCATCTCTACAAATTCCTAAAGGGTCAGCCCCTGCACCCCAAATCACCCACTGGCTTCATATCACTCTAAGGGGCTTAGGGTTGTCATCTCTCTCATGCATTCGGGCAGAAAAACTACTGCACCCCCAGTTTACAATACTACAATATATACTAAACTAGATTTTAATTCATAAATTACTAGTTAACCACACAAAGTATGCACATTTCTCTCGAAGGAAACCTTCAATGTGAAAGCTACCGTTGCCGGTATTCTGAAAAAAATATTAGTTGATAGTAGGGATGCACCGATACCGATACTAGTATCAGAGCCGATACCGAGTATTTGGGCGAGTACGATGCCTAACACGATACCCGAACTTCCGGTATCAGGAAGCCCGGGGAGCGTGTCATTACATGGAGCCGGCTTCCCGGACAATCAGGAAGCCGGCTCCATGCTAATCGGAAAGCCGGGTGGCGAGTCTTCACACGTTGGGAGCATGGTTTCCGGCAAATCAACAAGCCAGGCAGGGTGTAATGATTGGTCAGGAAGCTGGCCAATTAGGAAGCTAGACGATGAGTCATTACGCGCCCACCGAACTCCCTGATTGGCCAGAAAGCCGGCTTCATGCTCCCTTGTCACCTGGTGTAGAAGGAGCATGGAGACGGCCTTCATGCTAATCGGAAAGCCGGGTGGTGAGTCTTTAAACGTTGCCCAGCTCACCTGGCTTCTTTAATGGGACTAGCGCTATCGGTATCTGCGAGTGCCGGAAAAAAAAATAACGGTACTCGTACTCGATACCGAAAAACCAGTATTGGTGCATCCCTAGTTAATAGTCAAAGGAATCAAAGTAGATCCAGAGATAAAGGCTGCTGATTGACATGTATATCTTGGCTTTTACTGTACAAGTCAAGCTTGACGGAACTCCGTCCTGCTCCCCATTGGTCAACAAGGCTGTCCATCACATTATAGAATCAGCAGAGAGGCACGGGAAGTAGACAAGACCAAGCCTAAATTATGCAGGAAAAGTCAAGATTTGCATATACAGTAAACTCCCCGTATTCCCGCATCCATGGGGATTGGTAGATTCTGGATAAATGTACTCTCTGGTTGCTTGAGAGTTACTATTAAAAATAGGTCTAACTAATACTATACCCCATACTATACCATATCATAACATAAACTGTGTATTTACTTCATATTAATATTGAAATGCAGTCATTAAAAGCAAATTAAGACAAATAGACACACGATCATCTCCAGGATAATACATGTCGCAGATCAGCAAAACAGGGGATTTTTGTTCTGGTTAGATGAGAATTCTGGATAGTTGAATAGCGGAAAACTGAGAGTTTACTGTACTGTGATTTCCGCTGACTATCTGTGGATCAAGTAATCATCCCGACAAGCAGTTTTTTTTTATCACAGACTCAGTTTAAAATTTGGGTGAGTTTAAGTACGAACCAAAATTTAATCTGACAAAAAATTAAAGTTCTGCTTTATAAATGTTCCGCACAGCGTATAGCTGAGGGATGCCATTCGCAGAGCATGAACACTCCTATATGGCTCTGAGGAGCCCAGGAATGCCTATGCTCCTCACTGCCATCTAGTGGCACTAGTGCCGTGTGAACAATATCCGCCCAGTCTATGTGGATCCTAACATGGATAAAAACACGACCACAACTATTTTCCTAAAGTGTATGTCAGGGACCAAAAATATTCACATTTCTCCATGTTTTAACTCTTTAAAAATGCTGCAAGTACAGGGAAATACCTGTTGATTTGTCAGAAATCTAGTGTGCTCTCAACTTCCTGTTTAGGCTGATAATCCAGCTCTGTTCCTGTTCTGAAATCCCAAGCGACATTGTCCATCACAGATATGTCACCTATACCCCTCCCCTCACTGTCCCTCTACATTGATTTATTTCCCAGCATTGCAATGCTGCTGCCTTGACTCCCAAGAGCCTGCCCATCCACTGCATAGGGAAGTGGCTCTTAGGAGATGTATTTCTGGGGGCCATGCTTACGCCTTGCAAATTTTAAAGTGATGTCGCAGGGAGTAATAAATGTGGATTCTCACTATGGGAACAAGATACTGAACATGATAATGGGACAGGGGAGAGGGAGGTTTAGGGGTATTTTAGGGTCATGCCTTTACAAATCCTTTAAAAGGAGAACTATGAGGTGAGTGAAAATCACTCATCCTCATAGTTCGAGCCGACATGTGACAATGAGACTGTCACAGGTCGGCTCAGTCGATCGGGAAGTGAGTGAACAAATACCGTCGCTCGCTCACTTACTTCTCGATCTATCCCTACAGAGAGCGGTGACTGTCACTCACGGCTCCCTGCAGAGATTCCCCCCTCCGATCCTCCAGTGCTGAGTTGAGGAACGGACGGGGGAGGGGGCTGGTACAGCTGGCTCTGCCTCTAGATAGGCAGAGCCAGCTGTCACTCACGCAGCTGGGTGGATCTCGACAGTAATGTCAGGATCCATCCCGGCTGCGGCAGTCTCAGTATACCGCGAGTTGTAAATTGCGATATACTGAGCTTTGGATCATGGGAGGATGCTAGTATATGTCCTCCTGTGACCCTTAGGAGAACTAAGGGGAAAAACACTTACCCCATAGTTCTCCTTTAAGTCAGAAAAAAGGCACCATTTTTGGTATAAAGGTGATTAACTGAGTATTTTTTGGTAAAAACAGACCAAAAAGGACTGGAATAAAACACTTAAAGGCAACCATATAAATAGATTATATTTGCCATCTGGTCCAACATCATGATCAGCTACATTGTTATCATAACTGAACAAAAGGACACTTTCCTACCAACTGGAACATCTCACACACAGTGACAGAGTGTCCATTGAAACTACATGTGATTGTATGTTTTATGACTCATGCTGTGCTCATCCCTGGAATGCGGGGACGTTATTTATTGTAGTATAGACAGATGCTGTGTGTAAAGAGGGGGTTATCTAAGGTGATTGTGGCTCCAGAGATTCTGGTTAACCACCTGCATGATTACCTCCAAAGCCATCCCAGTTAGGTCACTGAGGAAATGAATCCCTATCTGCGATAAATAATATTAATAATTCATATGTGGTTATCTTCTCAGTGAACGATAAAGCCTCAATGTCATTAAGCCGGAGAAATCCTAACACCGCCTTTTCTATAAATCAAAAGACTTTATGTTTGCACCAGACCCTGAACACTACCTTTTGGATATATAACATCTGTTCTAAGATGCGGTTTCCTGTATTCAGCTTTTTCCATGTAGACTTCTATTTCGCTTAAGTAACTCTTGCTGAATCTTCATGTGCTCTTTTACTGCAATTCATACTGAGCCAAGCAAACCAGAATGAACTGTCGTTTGGCTGCTATATGAACTCGGTGGAGATCTTCATTGTAGGTAGATAGTGATGTGCAAACTCAGCTTGGGTTTCCAGGTGTGTCAGATAGATTGTCCCCTGTTGGGACCTTTGCTTCTTCTTGACAACCCCTTTGTCACTGATAGCAGAAATCATATATCGGCTCAAGTGTCTCTTCCATCAATAATTTATTGTAAGATTGTAGTACGGCCTCATACACGCTGCTAAGAGCCAGCCTGTAGAGATCCATGCGTGTCTGGCCGTTCCCGGGAAGGACAGGTACTGCGTGTGATTGCACGCAGTAGCATGTTCTTCTCTGCGGGGGTCAGACAGGATGGATCCTGTCTGCGTCCGAGCTCGGACACCCGCACGGATGTGAAGTTCAGGTGAGCGTATGGCGGCGTACGGCCACACTACCATAGAAAATAACCTGTCCGTCCCGGGAGCGGCCCCATACGGCTGTGCACACTGCAGGGATCTGTACAGGCCGGCTCTTAGCAGTGTGAATGAGGCCTAATAACTTAGGCGTTTCAGCCTAAGGCCTCATTCACACTGCTGTATAATACCTTACGCATAGATGCACACAGCGCTTTTCCCATATGCAGCATATGCAAATAAATGGCTCCATACACATAGCTGCGTATGGAGTCGTATTTCTGGGCTGCGTAAAGATGTGCAAAAACTCAATGGAACCGAAATGCTTCCGGGCTCGGAATTTCTGCATATTTTACACGCGCAAGGAGATGACCTTACAATAAATTATTACTGGAGGAGGCACTTGTGCTGGTATATGGTTTCTATGATTAAAGTCCTGAGAATTTGTATTTATAGTACACATGGTGATGGAGAAGTGCAGGGGAGACCTATGAGGTGTATTTTTGTGTCAACCCAGTTGTCACTACTGTTTCCTGTACTGATGTAGGGGGTCGGCAGGTGAAACCACTGCACCCAACGGGGAATGCACCATCCGACACACCCACAAATGTCAGATGGCAGCAGTGTCTGGAGTTCTTGAAGAGAGCCTGCCTGAAAGAGGAGTACTGACAGTGTATTCATCTTTTTTTAAAGGCTGCTTCCAGTTTTATTAACTAAAGTTAGTGACAGGGTCACTTTGATAATAAACAGAGGAAGAACATAAAATCAGCAACCAGAAACATCTTAGCTAGGGGGACTGAAACCCAATTGGTCAGTGTCGGTAGAACACTTGTGGTCATTTCTCCCCAGGTTAGGCTGCCATAGACAACGGTGAAGAATTCCTCTACCTGATACAGTCAGTCTGGCGCTGTTACTCTGCCGCGTTTCTCCCGTATATTTGTGCCGCGTTGTACATCGGTAATTATTTAATCCGTCTTCATTCTGTACATCTGTAATATACAAGGCTCCCGATGATGTAATGAGAAATCTAGATCCTGCAAAGAAGAAGAACAGAAGGATTACTTACAGGAGAATTTCTTACCTCCCTGAAGGCAAATATTTCATATGTGACATGTAATCAGCAAACCTGTCAGGTTTAAAAAAAAGTTTTCCAATGAATCTGGTTTCTTTAAAGGAAATGAATGGCATTTTGTTTAATAATGTTAAAGTCACACTCCAGCCAAAAGTTTGTTTTAGGATAGAGAATAAAAAACAGGGTTAGAGCCTCTGCCAATGAATCAGTGTGACTACAAGGCAACTAGCATTTGGGGAAGGAGAGGTCAGCCTTGAAATACCCTTAAACTACACTCCCAGTAAGCCATACGCCTTTGAACAGAACCTGCTCCGGTTAAAGCCTTGGCTTGTGCACCCTTTGTTAAAGTGTTCCAATTTTTACGCATAAAGTAACACTTTAAATAGATGACAATTTACAAGAAGTTATTAAAGTGTATGTAATCCCAAATTTGTGTTCACCTGTGGCATATTCAGAAGAGGAATTCCATTATTTTCTATGTCCCATTCACATCTATGAGTTGCGCTACCATGCAATAGACATTTGCGATTCGTTTCATTCCAAATCAAAGTTCGGACAAATTTTATGAAATTCGGACATTCGGAAACATACGAATTTCCGAATCCCAATGCATCCTAATGTGTCCGAATCTGAATTTTCATTTCCGAATTTTGGATCCTGTCCGAATTTTGTTCAAAAACTAAACTGAATGGGACATGTGACTTTTCTGGCCAATCAGATGTGTTTTTCAGTTTAATGCATCCGAATGGCTCTGAACACGAATTTTCATTACGGCAACATGGGAGCCATATAACATATGGCTCCCATGTTGCCATAATGAAAAATTGTGTTCAGTATATACATATGATGCTAAAGCTCCTAGATTTGAATGGCATTTGGGATCCAAATTTCCGAATTGCATTCGGGAGCGGGAGCCATATACAGTACATATATTACTAAAGCTGAGGCTCCCAGACCCGAATGGCATTCGGGAGCTCCCCATTGCAATTTGGAAATTCGGATCCCGAATGCCATTCGGGTCTAGGAGATTCAGCTTTAGTATTAATATCTGTATATGGTTTTCTGTGGTATTCGCAACGAATATTCGTAAACTTATCCAAAATGAAAATTCAGATTTCATCCGAATCCGAAACCTGAACCAAATTGAATTTCGGATCCAAATTCTGAAATAACGAAATATCCGAACCAAACCAAATTTTTCCACAGCTTACAAGTCTACCACGCAACTTGAAAAAAGGTGCCAATGCTTCTTTTGGTGCTAAATAGTTTACTTTGGCCCTCTAGACTTGCATGAAAAATGCATCTATGTGTGTTTTAGCACATTTTTGCCCATAATAACCAGTCTCCTCATCTAAGCAATATGTTCTATCATCAGACTGCATAGGAAGATGGGGCGAAGAGGCCATACCATGCTTGATGTGGAAGAACTAATACGGCTGAAGAAACCACACAGTGACCAGAAACCACAATTACAAGGATCGTTGCAAGTGGCAGCGGGCCTGGAGGGACATCGCCCGCAAGGTTTATGTTGACTGGGACAGTGACCCAGCAGAACTCAACAAAACAAAAACAAATGGAAACTTATTTATTTATTTAGCACACAATTTTTGTTTCATGTGCTAATTCAGGGGTGGGAAACTCGGGCCCTCTAGCTGTGCTTTAACTGCAAATCCCAACATGCCTCTGCCTCTGGGAGTCATGCCTGTATCTGTCAGTCTTACAATGCCTCATGGGACTTGTAGTTCCACAACAGCTGGAGGGCCGGAGTTTCCCACCCCTGTGCTAATGTGTGTTTATAGAAATTACATTTTGGCATACCAATGTTGTTGCTATTGTGTCACTTGCTTGTCAATGGCCAAAACAAAATTCAATCAAAGATGAAGCAGCATGAAAAATGCATTACAATTTATTATCAACACATGTAAAAACAAGCGTAAATGCACTACAAAAATACGTTAAAAGTGCATAATTATGCAGATGCACATATGTGCAAGCAGACTTCGGGTTAAAATCCCCGTCAGGATATTTTTTACTGCCTGTGTCCTGCAGAGGAGATTTCCCTTTTTTTCCCATCCTGTAGACCCAACAAGAAATGAGAGGAAATCCTTACCAACGGAATTCCCAGAAACAGTTGTCCCCACTGGAGGATTTTTCCTCACTACTTGTCCTGGTGCAGACTCCAAATTTCAAGATTTTCCCTCACTTTCTGTCTCAGTCAATGGTCACCCAGGGAAACAGATGGGCGAATCTCCCCAGAAGAGATAATAGAGACTGCAATGAATATTTGACAAAGGGTCTAACCGTTTTATAGTCCAAACCAAAAAAGGTTTGCTGTTACATTCATCCTAAAATTAGGGGCATCCCAACACTATTCACCTCCTGAGGCGGGGGATGCTGGTGTTGCTGGTGGTGCACCATTGGGATGCAGACCCAGGGAGAATGATGGTGGTGGCACATGCTACCAGGAGGGGGGGGGTAGAGTCTGGCGGCTCACATTACTGGAGGGGTGGGGGGAGTCTGGTGGTGCACCTACGGAGAGGGGGGGATTGTACCTCTGTCTGGCATCCTACCCAGGTCTCCACTGTCCCTGGTTGCCAGGAGCTGAGCAGGACGCCAGCCAGAGCATTCTGCTCAGCTCCTGGCAACCAGTGACATCAGAGAACTGGGTGGGACGCCGGCCAGATCATCCCAGGTTGCTAAGAGCGCTTAGCAAATTGGGACGCTCTGGCCAGAAAGGGGGCGACAAGCACACCTTCTGCCCCCTCTACGTGACCTATGAGGAAACTGACTCCAGCTGCCTCATTATAGAGACAGCCCTGCATAAAATGATCCCCAATGATAAGAAAGGTTCACACTTCATAACAGCATTTAGTAGTGTTCAGTATGACAACTGCCATTTTATCATTGCTGTTCCAATCCCTGGATGCACTCTATTCCCCCAGTACAGTTAATAAAATAATTTCCGCTTTGTAAATGGAAAATAATATTTTGTTTTGCCTCTTTGAAGCATCAGCTGCATATATTTATGTCATTTGTAAGGAAACAGGGCTTGTCATTGATATATATTGAGTTACACCATTTCTTGAAGCCTGTGCAGATATTGCAACCTTCCCAGGTAGAGTTTTATAGACCAACGGCAAACATCTATTATTACCAAATTATCCAAGACGAGCGCCTGAAATAATGGGCTTTAATGACCTACACATGAAGTACGTGGATCATAAATCAAGTCTGATTTTGCACTGCTAGAGGTACCATCTGCAGACACAGAGGAATTTATCAGAATCTGGATCAGTTGCCCATGGCAACCAGTCAGCTTTAGTAGAAAAATAATGAGGCTTTTTAATGGAGGCAGCCATCTTGTCAAAGCAGAGTGTGACGTATACAAAGAAAGCAGCCGTTGTGTAGAGGCAGTATGTAAAGAAGATATCGCTTTAAAGCAGCATGTGGGAAACTCCTTCACACCAGGAGTTCTTTAAAACATACACAATAAAGGGTATTAGGGATGCGGCGTTATCGTTTTTTCGGTATCAAGTTACGAGTAACAATATTTTTTTCCCGGTATTTGCCGATACAGAGTACCGATACTGGTGCCATGTGCCCCGATTATCAGAAAGTCAGGCGGCGGATCAAGACTCGTCGCCCTGCTTCTTGATTGCCTAAGAAGCCGGTGTTCTATCAAAAGAAAACCATATAAATAACATTTTATAAACAACAACAACAACCAATAACCATACTGTACAAATTGTTTGGTTTCAAGGTCCTTGAAAAAGGACCAGTGTCTGTGGGCACATTTCTTGTCCTGAATTCCCCCAGCTGCCATACACCACCTGGGGGACGTAAATAAATTGCCCACAGACCCACATTGGTCCCTCGTACCAGGTCATAACCGATTTGACCTTACCACCACAGGAGGACACCCACACAACAGATGGGTCCCCCCATCAAGTTATCCAACCCAGAGAAATGCCCGCAAGGATCCAAGCCACCGCTGTGACAGAAACATCATACACTACAGAACCCATACCAGGGTGGGCGGTTGGGAAGTTCGTCCCTCTTCTCCTGGTCAAACTGGACTCCTGGGACACTTTCCTCCAGTCCTGTAAGTGTCCCTCCTGTAGACAACTTCTAACTTTTCTTTAACCCTTTTCTACCTTGGTTCCCCTTCCCACCCTTGTCATGTAGGCCTTTGCTTATTCCTTTTCTCTCCATAGCTCCCGGCCGGTCTTTTCTCAAGGTTAAATGGAGTGACTGATGTACCTGAAGAAAGTACAATGTATCCAACAGTTGTGATTTGAATTGGCCATACCGGTTAATTTCTCATTGCTCCCCATAATATGGGGCAAGTGGTCAGAATTTAACAAGAACTGGTGCTCCAACGACAATTTAATCGGCCAACTAATCGATTATGAAAATAATCGTTAGCTGCAGCCCTAGACAATTCCTTTGGTAATTTTTCAAGTATATTAAGCTATTGACTTTCATACACCCTTTCAGCGTCACCATGTGAATTGGATACCCCTTTTTGATCTTGTATGTCCAGATTCTTTTAACCATAGAGTTTTTATTGTGTTTTGAACATCAAAGGGTACAATACAGTACAATACAATACAATACAAGGTGCTCAGGTAATAATTACAGTCTGAGGATTTATCAGTGTAAGTGCAACTTAGCAATTAAATTATAGATAATGAGTCAATACATGCGTGTAAGCAAGTCATAGGTGATGATGGGTAATTGTGCACAAGTACAACAAGGTAACGTACTTCCGGGAGTGAGTGCATGGCATATAGATGGGTACCTCCAAATGTTGAGGCGAGATGACATAAGTGTGGATCATATATTTAGTAAAGCCCTTCTGGCTCTCGTAGGTGTGGACCTCAGAAGTAGACCAATAAGTGCATTAGGTCCATTAATGTGTTGAGCAGTGGCAGAAAAGAAGGTCCAGATTCGTTTAATAAT